GTAGTTCTGCCCGGGCAGAGGATGAGGACACAGACACTACAGATGATAAGCCCTTGGTGCAGGACCCTGGCAGGCTGGCACTGAGGGGCAAGTACGTGTAGAAGACAGCAGCAGTGTGCCTGGAGCTGAGGCTAGAAGAGGAGAGGGGGATGCAGAAGTGATCACAGCCTGTAAGAAAGTATTTCCTACTGCCAGCCAGGGAGGAGGCTCCACAGCAGTCCCACTAGGTCCTTCACCTCTGCCTACAGGCCCCGAGTACTTAGCTTTATGTGTAGTAAGCCACGGCAATCCAGATGTCAAGAGGTTAAGGCTGAACTAGATCAGAGACCTCCCAACAGAACAAAACATGCCCCTGGGGTGTCCTGCATTTTCCCAGGGGTATGTGGGTACAGAGCACTAAAGGAATCAAATTCCATACCCACTGCTTAGTGGGACTCCCCCAGTACTATCAATGCCATGCTTGCTGGACCTGAGACAAGCAGATTTCTAGCAAGTTCTCCTTTCTTACTTCCCCTTTCTTCTTTTCCCACTTTATGAAAGACACATCCCTCCCCCATGCAGAATCTGACCCTTTGGCTTGCCTTGCCAGGGTGCCACATAAAGAAAGGAGCAACTTGAAAAACTGACTTAAGAGAGAGCTTTTAACTTAAATCAAACCAATGTTATCAATCATCTCTATATCTATCATTCACATTTCCACTATAGCTTTAGTTTTATGCCTCATCATTGCTTACAATAAAAAGGATTATTTGGTTAATTGTACATTCATAATAGGTAAAACAACATAACCAAGAAGAAATTTTAACAATAGAACCCCTTAGTTAAAAGGATTAAGATTGAATTTATAGACTTACTTTTGTTGTAGGGAAGTAAGGGAGAAAAAATGGAAAATATATTATAAAATCCATAACTGTAAAAGTGTTCAATTTAAGAATAATTATTTGAAAATTTTAGAGATCATCACTAACAGTGTGCAAGGGCTGCTTCATTTCTCAAATTTCAATTTAAAAACATGTGTGTAAAATTCCCATTAAGGAGAAGTATAATTCAGTGCTATGAGAGATCTGGGCTTTCTCTGGGCATTTTTGTATGTGTCACTATGATAACTTCCTCCCCCATCAATCTTAAAATCATCATATCTTCTTCTTCTAGGACTATTTTCAGTTGCAATTCCTCCATTTGACAAATAATTTCTTTCCCCTCTGATCTTTCCCAATACCTATCAGGACTTGAAAGAATCATTAACATTTGGAGAGGACACAACCACATATTGTATCCAAACTTTTGAGTCCTTTTTAATTTAGACTATATGCAACCCTCTATCTCTGCCATGGGCTAAAACACTGTAAAACAGATGTATACAAATACCTTGCCTTCAGATGTAAAATGTGTACAAATAATATTGTTGAACTGAACTGAGCTCAAAGAACCTTTTATTTACTATTTCTAATCCCAGCAATGAATAACTATTTTTTTTAAAAAAGAACATCTTTTAACATAAAGCTAAATAATAAATATCATTAGATTATCCCAGTGATGATCACCATCTATTTCATGGCAAGGATACAAGCATTATAGTTTTCATTATACTGAACAACTGACTTCCAGAACCCAGAAAAGAAAACATGTGATATACAAAAAAGTATTAACATTGTAACCAAAATAAATCTCAGCAGAATGTCTTCTTAGCTATGTCCTAATCCAAGTGAAACTCTGCATACCAGTACAATTTTTTTTTGTACAATGAAGATAAAAATGCAGTTATTATTAGAAGTCCATGAGGTCATGCAGATGAAATATCATTGTGGTGCGTGGAACTTCCTTTGTGTTACTTCCAGATTCACATTGGTTTCTACTGGAATGATTCTCTTAATAACAATAATTTGTACTTCAGACTCTCTGTCAAGATTTCTGGGCTATCCCTGGTTCAATATACTCCAGAAGCAGAGTGAAAAATAGCCCTTATCTGTCCCCAGATGTTAACAGGTGATATGTACATGCATATATATATACACACAGACTTACATATGATTACACATGCACACACACATACAGAATATACACAGTTATGCATATGTTTACATATGTATATACACTTGATGATAGTTCATTAGTGAAATACACCATCAAATTGTTATTAATTATTTAGTTAATTACATTCCAGTACTCACCACCACACATTTTCTCTCAAAGGCCCTATAGAATTTTTCCATCCAATCAATTTAAAAGACTAGCAGCAAGCATTTAAGCAATGTTCAATCTCTAAAGTCTCATGCAGTTACTGTAATCACTGGGTAAGTAAATCTAAGAATGAGTGTATAGCTAAAGAAAGAAGCTGGCTTCTTCCCAGCTTTTCTATCATAAGGCCTTCTGAAAAGGGGGTTTCCTGATCCCTTCATGAGTCCTGGCCCTTCTACCTGGACCGATGGATAAGTAAATAGGTGGATATAGATATATCGATCAATCCAAATTTGCCTACTGTTATTCTTTTATCAGTTAAAACTGATACGAATTGGACAAGTGTTTTCATTCAGGGAACATAAAAGATATTTCCCCAGGGAACTAAACATAGAGATACTTATATGAATATTATTTGGATAAAGAGAATTGTTAAATATGTACTTATTGATGTCAATTATATAAGTGTCATACAAACATTACTTTAAAATCTACATTCTAACACTATAACATTTCCTCAAAATGAAATATGATTGTCACTGTCAAACTGTAGGAAATATTTGAGTGAGGAATATTATGTAGGAAATAATAGTATCCTTGAATAAATACATGCTTTCTTAACCTAGTAGGTCTCAAGTATTCGATCCTGCAAATATTTCAACAAAATATTAAAATAAATTGGAAATCATAACCTAGAGCTCATATATAAATTAACATGAATTTATGTTATTATATCATAACTATTATAATTATATTTTTATCATTTTGTAATCATATTATTATCATATTTAAGTTTTTTATAGGTTTTCCACATGTGGGATAATGAGACAAAATGGGTTAAACCTATGTGAATTAGAATTCCACTTTCTAAGCCTATCCCCTTAGGAAAGTTATTTACTCTATAATTTCATAAGCTACAAAATATAGTTTGCACCACGAAAATATATCAGGATGGTTTTTAAAATGCATACTTAGGGGGCTGGGCATGTAGCTTAGTGGTAGAGGACTTGCCTACCATGCTGGATGCCCTGGTTAAATTTTCCAGCACTGCCAAAATACAAAAACCAAAACATACTTACTTAGAACAATGTTTGATGCATTAGTAAGAACTCAACAGGTGTTGGCTGTTAATCCTATTATTGTCCAAAATGCAACTTGTGGATCTGAAGACAGTACTCTGTGTTATCTATCACTAACTAACCTTCAGAAGAGTAGTTACACAATAAACAAAAAAAGAAAAAGAAAGAAAACACTCAGAGAAATGGGTGGAAGGACAATCTTCTAAATTCTAAAAGTTTTGTAAACTTTTTGTATCAAAGATCCATTTTAAAAGCTGATTAGAATTATGGGGTATTCTCCTGAAGAAAATCTACATCTACACAGCATGCCGCTTCTTTTACAGACTTCCTGTAACCTACCAGAGGCAGCAAACCTGAGACGGGGAAGCTCCGGATGTTAAACTCTTCTACTTCCAATAAACTTAAAACCATATTTTTTCTCCATCCTCCAAAGCAGTTTTTAAAAATACATTCATTGACAATATTAATTCTTACTAGTACTAGTTGATGGCTTTCTGCTATACTAATTTCAGGGATTTAAACAAAAAGTATCATATTATTTTTCTTAAGCTTACCAGTAATCTGCAGGTAAATTCTAATGAGAACATCAAGTCAAACACTAGAGTTGCTCCTTTAAATTAGCAGAGAGCAATGACATCAAAATCATGGAAACACCCTACCCATCTGAGATTCTGTATCTAGGGCCAATCTAACCCTTCTTAGTCACTGCTGCAAAGCAGATCATGAGTCTGAATGAACCTCAGAAGGAGAAAAAGAAAAATATAAGGACATGACACAAAGAATCCTAATAAACCCTAAGAATTTTCTGACACTAAAACTTCAGCTTTTTCTTTACTTTAAAACCCTAAAATGACTATTGCTTTGTGTTCAGTCCTTTACATATCTTGATATTTCTTCAGTTGCACCTCCTCCCTCTACCATGTCCAATGCACTACTTTATAAGAAAATGACAGAAGTTTAAATCTTAATGTGTATTTTATGTTGATGATTTCAACAGAATGGTCCACCTTACAGCTTCTGCATAGTAAGATGTGTAATAACCATCCTGATCTATTTATTCCATAATCCTAACACAAGAGTTCAGCCAGCTCAGTTGGGTCTCATTCCATAAACTGAAAGATGAGAGTGACCACAACTGCAAGAAGTGGCCATTATCCAAAATAGTTTAGAAACACCTAATGGGAAATTGCTGGTGACAGCCACTTTTGCTTCTAGTTTTAACTTGTGACTCATTCTGTTTAACAATCTATTTCATTTATAAGCATCAATGAAGAACTACTTTGCTTGACACATTAGCAAATTTTAAGTGCATAGAATCACAAAAATTTAATTCAAGTGAACTGTAAATTCTTGTAATAATGGAGCTTCAATAAAGCTTGAAAAAAATAATTAGCTATTTATTTAAAGCCTCTTGAATAAGGGTTTTATTTCAATACCATTCTCTCAAATTTCTTGCAAGTTTCTTTTTCCTTTCTTTTTTTCTTTTTCTTTCTTTTTTTTTCTTTTTCCTTCATTCCAAATACTGCTTTTCTGAGAGACAAGCGACTTGTGCAGATTTGGCGCGAACACAGCGCCAGGCCTGAGTGCCAAAGCAATGATCATTCCTGCATAATTCTCTCCCTAGAAGACATATCCTGATCAAAGACGAATGTAATTTGATTTTGCAAAGGTAGTGAGAGAGGCGCGCACGCACGAAGAGCAAGGGTCTTGGGGCGACAGAGAGCAAGCAGAGAGCGGCGGTACCTTTCTTGACCTTTCTGTGGTGGAGTAGGTTCAGGAAGAATCAGTGCTGCGGGAGCGCGTCTTCTTGGAAACCCGCTGCGTGGCTGGGACAGCCAGACAGAGTAGGTGGCGCGCAGGGGCCCGGCGCTGTCACTGCTTGCCCGCCACCGGGAATGGCAAGATTGGAGCGCACCGGGGAGACGCACGCAAGGCGCAAAGGGACGCGAAAATGCGCTCCTCCGGAAGCAGGCGTACAGGCAGGCGAACCCACGGGAGAAATAAAGGGTCAGGAGGGGAAAAACCGTCTGCACGTCGTGCAACGGAAAACTGAAGTCCCCGTCAAGGGGGCGGGGCGGCCCGGCTGCGGCTGGTGGAGGAGAAGTGTGAGTTGAGCCGCAGCTGGGAGGGGCCCGGGGCGTAGGCTTTCGGGGAAAATTCCACCGCGTTTTCAAGCAACACCATCTCCATTCCCAAAGCGGAGAAGCTGAGCTCATACCTCCATGGACACCTGGATGCAGGGTGGTCTCCTTGCAGCCAGCGCCACGTACCAAGGACAGGGCTAGGGGCTTCGACGGCAGCGAGCGTGCGAGTCAGCTGTGATTTCCCCCGCCGCCTTCCAATCGGGGAGTCCCAACTCTGGCAAAAAGAAAAGTGAAAGAGAAAGAGCCAGAAGCAATGGCAAAGATAAACACCTCCAGCAGAGGTTGGGGGAGGGGCGGGTGGCAGGCGGCTCCTGGAGCCACAGGTGTAGTCTCGATCACCTGCAGGTCCTGGGGCACAGAACCTGAAGCGGGAACGGGATACTGAAGGAGCCCGGACCCGCCTTGATGCGCTACTGGCCACTGGCCTTATCTGCCTCCTGGGACACCTACAAAGAAGTCTGAATCGGTGGCGTGGAGCCCACAGGCCACAGTCACAGCTACTGCCGCCTTAGGGAAATTTATGCAGCAAAGCCTGAAGACCCTGGTGCGGTGGGCGCTCCGGGGAAAGCAAAGGGATTTCGAATTGGGATGGATAGTTACTCCAGACAAGCCAGTTTCCCCGCAGCAGAAGTGGGAAGAAGGAAGTTTCTGACTTATTAAAGGAAACTGTTGAAGACACCTGAGTGACCCATTTCTTGCAGGCAGTTGTCAGGATCCGTGAACTTTGCAGGAACTGTACCTCTCTGGAATCCCTTTTTCAGTCTAATAGGTAGTGGAGCTTAAAACATTACATGGGGGTCCCATTTGATGGAATCCTGAGATGTTTTATTGTATGTTCAAATTGGAATGATGTTTTTGAGGCTGAGTGATCTGCATGTGGATCTGAGTTAGCAGCAAAGGCAGAATGCCCAGCTCTTGGGAGAATCTGGCATGCATGTGAATCACTAAAAATCGCTGTTGGAAGGTGCTTCCCAGAATCTTTCAGAGTCAAGGCACGGAGAAAATGATAAGACTCCTTGGAGCCCTGTTGAAATTTTAACTATTTTTTGTATTAAATTAATATGATAAAAAAGCGGGAAAATATTCAAAATCATTATTAACTGTGCATAAAATTCCACATAAAATCATTTATTGCTTTTTATGAAAAAATTTGAGTTTGTTTCCATAAACTTACCTTTCCTATATAAAGTTTTATGTTTGAAACAACTGATAGACTTTTTGGTAATAATCACTTCAAACTTTATATAGCTATAATAGCAAGTTACTGGAAATATGTAAGACCTTCTTTTACAACCTCTCTAAATTTTTTCATAGTTGAAAATTATATTTAAAGTAGTGAAAGAATCATTCTTCTCTGTCCAAGCAAGGTAATGTTGGATTTTCTTGTGATAATGCTCATGAATTTCAACTCCAATCTGCCTTTCTCATAGCAATATCAGAAAGCTCTGATTTGTAAAATGCATGCCCATCTGAAAGGCTTGGTATTCCACTGCAGAACTATACAGCAATTACAAAAGAACTGATATGTGAATGTGTGTGAAGAAGGAATAGGGATGGACAATATGCAAGGTGACCCCTGCCTCAACTTGGACCACTGCTGAATTTCTTGTGTTCCTGCCAAGTGAATTCTTCTCCCATCCCCTTTATGGGCCACACCCAACACCACCTAGCAGAGCCAGAGAACACATGGCATCCCAGATCCTGCCCCTATTGGGCTGCCCAGGTGCTCTAGAGGATGCTCCTTTCAGCTGGGGATCACTAGTCTTTTGGGGCTGTCCAGTCTGATGGCACATTTTTAACCCATTGCAGCCACCACAATGTGTTACATGTTCTGAGTAACTGGAGAGTTTTTATAACACTATGAATGGATGGGAACTTTCTTCATACTTAAAAGAACAATCTGAGTATATAAGAAAACTGAAGTTCTAGAGTTACTGATTCAACGCCTAACATATGTTCTGAAATAAGATGGTCTGAATGATATAAAGCATTCAGTCAGATTAGGGAGATAAAATAACAAAAAGAAATGGAATGAAAAGTTATTATAGCCAAAGATATGCTTTGCTTTGCTACTTGCCTCCCAAATATATGTGTCAAATTTGCTTTCTTAATTACAGACACAAAAGGGAAATTTTTGAATTATGAGTGTCTACAATTCATGAAGTTGAGTTTGTTGCATAATTTGTTTTTGTTGTATTGCACTCAAATGGAAAAGTCTAATGTATGTGTCTTGTCTGTTCAGTTGCCACAGGCTGTTTGGCAAGATATTGAGAATTATTCAAGCCAATGAACAAGTAAATTCCCCTGCATAAATTAAAAGCAAAGGCAAAGATTGATGAAATAATTTGAAGCTGCCTTACGATAAAATCATAATGTAGGAAGAAGTAAAAATTAACTAAACCTTACAGTAGCGGCCATAGTAATCTTCTGATTTCAAAGAATGAACAGTAAAACCACAGTTTAAATAATGTTTCAATATCTGATTTTTCCCCCAAAGACAATATTTGCCAATTAAATAGTTATGTTTAAAATAAATCAATCACATATGTTTTCTATAGCTTTTGGACTAAGCTAAATGCTAGGTCATAACATTTAGATTTAGTGTTCAAAGTCCATGACAGACTCTTTATTTATGGTCCTCCTAAGATTAAATCACAAGCCAAGAACAAGTTGATCTGGTCTTTGGAAAGTGTGGGCTACACAAGATCCCTCAAGTTTCCATCTTGAATAAGTGTGATTGAAATGCAGCATTAAACCTCATGGAAGCTCTCACTTCTTTTTGTTTTGATTTGTTTTGATTGTCTCAGCATTAAAGGAATACTCATGCTTTTAAAGGTGACTTAAGTTTTCAGGAACTTTAAGAGTTGTTGCATTTTTAGAGGTATAACAATGTTAGAAATTACTTCTACAGTACTTAAAGTGTGCACCTAGTACTGTGCTCAGTACAATTTCTAAAATTTTGTTATTTTTATCTCATTGTACTTATTTATGGGGCACATTATTTATGGGGCACATTCAGTACCTGTGTACAATGTAAGTACAATATATTAACTCAATTAAATCCTCACACCACTACAATGAAATATGAACGATTATTATCTCTATTTTACAAATGGAGAAACTAAGGCCTGGAGAAATTAGACAACATGTATCAAGTCTCTGGGCAAGTGACTGCCCCAGCAAGGACTTGCACTCTGGTAATCTGGCTTGATAACAGACCTCCTCCCTCTGCTGCTTCTGAATTGATAACTATACTCCAGTGCTTCTAAACCAGAGCGTACATGAGGGAAGAAGCCCACTGACTCTCAGGTAGTGTTGTTCTGTCTGATATTTATTTGCACAGGGTAATTTTAGGCACCACCAGGGAGGAAACTCATCAGTTTCCTTGGATTGTTTCCTCTTGATCTCCTGTTTCTGTAATGAAACTGCCCTGGGGGTTGCAGGCCTACCACAGACATAGGCTATTTAAACAAAGTGACTGACAGAGGTTAGCAGAGTTTTATTACTCACAAACTTTGGACTGTTCCTAATAAACATGGGTGAATTTTTAAAACCTAATATGCCTAAATACACCAGTGGCATAGAAGGAAAATACGTTGGTCTCAAGCTGGAGATGCCTCAAAACCAATAATATACATTGAATTCTTTGTATATTTTAAATTCATTGAATATTAAATGCATTGGAGGATGGAGAAGAGGTTTAGAGTCAAGAGTTAATGTGCTAACACTAAGCAGTCCTTTAATATTTATCAGTCAAAATCCAATTCAAAAAACATTAATCACCATATTTAGTTTATAATAAGAAAGTGTATCATAGACGTATACAATATGAATGATCTTGTTGACATTTATTTCAGTGACAAATTATAAAAATAAATTTTGCTTTACATCACATGCTTGTGGACACATGGCCCATACTTATCTTGAATTAGTTCTATGGTTTAAATTAACATGTTTATTTTATTTCATTTCATTTTATCTTATTAAGGTATGGCTAAGTTGTAAAGGGTGGTCGAAAACTCTTGATCCTCCTGCCTCAAGCTACCGAGTGGCTTGGATAACAGGTATGTGTCACCATACCCAGCTAAATTTATGTATTTTTGGCAACATATCATAACATTAACAATCAAAGAATGTAAGATAAAGTGGAGAACAATAATACGTCTGTGTCAACAGGTGAAGTTAAAATGATGTTGATTTTGGCCCTCTGACTGGGAAATAGTAGACCCTCAATTAGTGTTTATTGAATTTATTTTGTCAAAATTAAATTCACAGTTTTAAATGTGTGGTAAAAGCAAAATCTGAGCCACCTAGGTATGTATGTATGTACATACATACATTGATACACATCTTGCATACATTTATATAGATAGATAAATAGGTATATGTGTGTGTATATAATGGCTCTGAGAAGATTTACACATAAGGGTCCTGTAAAAGCTAGGAGACACAATGTAAGAATGTTCAGAGGTGAAACAATGGATTCATATTTTACAAATGGAGAAACTAAGGCCTGGAGAAATTAGACATAAACTAGTCCTGGTTTTCACTGATAAGATTATTTGTTACTGTCCTCATGGTTTTCAGAGACTGACTGTTTGCCTTTGTGCTAATTGTTTACAAAAAGTAATGCTTTACTGTATTGTTCATTGTTGGCTTAGCATGACCCCTGCCCTATGTATGCCTTGTCACCAGCCATCAGCCACTGTAGACCTCTGGACTGCTCCAGTGTTGAATGCCCTTTCTGTCCACACCCCACCTGATAGAGAACAAGGACTTTGGGTTACTTCCCCCAACTTCACCCCTTTTCAGCAAGAAGCAGTTTGGAGATGTCATTGCCCATTTTTAAAAAAATAGAAATGGAATGTAGAAATTAACAGTGGGGAAATGTAACAGTGGTCTACTTTATGCTTTGAATATAGCCCTTGCTGCTCCTCCACAGCAACTTATTTTTTAAATGCACGTGTTTCTTTCTCTTCCTCTCTCCCTGCTCCTCCTTAATCTCTC